GCCACGGAATCCTATGCCTACTCGCTCCAAGTCTCCTGAGCACGTGAGGAACATCATCGCTCTGTCCATTGAAGCTACTGCTGCTGATGTTGAGGCTTACGACGACTGCGGCCCCACCAAACGGACATTCGCAACCTTTGGAAAAGATGTCAGCAACCACCCAACTGAGGAGCGGCCCATCCTGAAAGGCAAGAGGACTGTCGATGTGACCATCTGCAGCCCCAAAGTCAACAGCGCTATCCGGGAGGCAGGCAATGGATGTGAGGCTATTAGCCCTGTCACATCCCCACTCCATCTCAAGAGCCCTCTGCCCACCAAGCCTTCCATGTCTTACACGGTCGCCCTGGCTCCTCCAGCTCATGATCTGGAGTACCATGCCAACAATGGCGCCTCTCGTCCTTCTGAAGCTGAGCCCCGTGGAGCCGACAGTGAGAAAGTCATGCATGAGGTCAATCCTATTCTGAAGGAAGGTCGTGACAAGGAATCTCCTGGCGTGAAGCGCCTGAAGGATATCATTCTGTAAACCGGTCGGGAGAAGTAGAGAGAAAGAAATCACACTGGCTAGTGAAGATGAAGCAGCTGCTCATTTTAATTGCTCACCAATGGTTGGTTCTTGAGTGGCTACACTGTAGAGCTTTCCCTAAATGTATTGTGTATAAGTGACTATCATTCCGTGACAATCCCTCTTGTTTCAACAGGCAGTAGGGGTGTTCAGTTGGAGCAAATTAGCTTTGGCTTGAGTTGTTCATGGGGCCTTGATGTTGGGGAAACAGAGGCAAATTCAGTTGTGAAAAGTATTATGTATTAAGTGTTTGAATTTATATATTTTTGTATGTCAAAATGATAATATAAATTACCATTGTTTGTGAAGAATTACATTTAAAAAAGCAAAAAAGAAAAAAAAAGCAAAAAAAAAAAGCTCTGGACACCTTTAATAAACCAGCCACTGTTTTTTGTAGTGTAGACAAGTTATTGGTCATTTATTGTGTACAATTCATTGATTCAGTGATGTGAAATCGAGCCCCCAAAAGGTTGTTTCCAAAGCTTGAGTACTTTCCAATGCCGCTACTTTGCTGTGGACGCCCCTGCTTTAAAAACCCTTTTGCTAGCTGTGCTGTTGTTGTATTTGATATTGCAAATTGCTATGTGTGTGGTGATGGCAAAAGGCTTTTAAAGGTTGATGTTTTCTTTTCTTAAAAAAATAATAAAAATACAGACAAAAACAAAATGTAGAAAACTGAGACAGCAAATGAATGAGCAACACCACACCTAGAGGTTGAATAACTTGGTGGATACTCACGTTTTCTAATCCTTGTAGTGATTGTTCATCACCTTGCAGAGGATTTTTCCTGCCTTTCAGTCTTCTGCCCCGGTCTGTGCTAGAGCATTGTAGAAAGTCATTTTTGGATATGCTGCTATCTAATTTGCAGTTGTCAGAAATACTGTGCTGAAAATTTTATGAGATACATTATTTTTTTTTCTAATTTTCAGAACCTGAACAGGAAAGTTGCTCCTGAAGTTATCAGTTTTCAGGCTGAGACATTCCCTGTCTCCAATCATCTGAAGCTTCTTCAACCTGACTGAGTCTATTTTGAGATCTAAATTACCATCTCTTTAGACACACACTTCCTGCTTCAGTGTTTTCCCAATCATGATTGGAATTAGATGGTAAAGCACATTGTGGGCTGGAATCCAGGGCTCCATGTTGCTCTTTACCTTAGGCTTATAAATAATGATAGAGAAAGCAGTCTGAAGTGTCCACTTAGGAAAAGACAGGTACTAACATCACTAATCTAATTACTGTGCCTTCTAAATGGAGACACTCTGACACTTGAACTCGTGTTTTTATGACTAATACTTTTTTGATTAAAAATGTGAACAAGAAATTATTAAAACAAAATTCCCTTAGATTTAGTTAACTCTTTTTTTGCTGTAGGCTAGGAATATGCCTTTTTAAACTAACAGACCAGCCCATTCTTTTTGTTGTTTTTTTTAACACTGCATAAATACCGCCTTTTAAAAATCATCTATTAATATTCACTAGCCAACATAGTATTCTTGCAGCCTAACAGTTTATTATTTAAAATAAACTGAAGAAACATGTCACCTTTGCTCTACCTTTGTCTTAAAAGAATTGCTTCTAAAGAAACACGTTTATTTATTTTTTTTGTTCCCCTCCTCTTGTTTTTGTAATTCAAGAACACTTAGAAAGAAAGCCTAGAAGTTAGAGCACTAGAATTCAGAAAAGAGTTTATTTTCTTAAGTTTAGGTAGATAAAGTCATCTCTTTGAAATGTTTTCATTATTTTTACCCGAGTTCCTAGCTTTATACATTACTAGGAGTATTTTCTTTTGTGGGATGTGGGAGGGTTGTAAGGGAGGGGGTGGGTACCTCATTGGGCATGGGGTTAGGTAGTGGAGATTTGTGGGGAAAAAAAGAAACCTATAATGAAGCTACAAATCCATCCTTATTTCCTATTCAGTGCTGAATACTACCTCATGCAAAATATTGGGTTGGCTGCAAATTTTGCCCTGACACCTACATAGTTAGAGACCTTTTCATCTTCTTGCTTCATTTAATTTTCTCTTACATATGATCTCCTATTCTGGTTTGTTTCATTTTGGTATAGTATATTATGAATTAGGTATTTATTTTCCTTCCAAGAGACTATTTGATTAACATATTTAACTTTTTGAAAGTGCCGTTTATGTTAGAATGACTGCCTGTAGAATTTAGACTGATCTTACCATGATCCAGCTGATATATCTCGTTAGCTAGCACCTCAAGGTCACTTTGTAGTCAGATTGAATGGCTTTCTACAGGTGGATTTCTTACTCCGTCCAGTGGCAACTCCGGAGTTTGAAAGACTGTGGAAAGTGGAAATGAATGTTGGAATGTAGAGAGGCCACTGCCTGCCATTTGTCTTACCAGCCAACTGAAAACAGTAGCAGTGGCATTGAATTCTTTTTACTGTATTTTTAAAAGCAACTAAAATTCTTAAATTTTGTCCCCAGAATTTAGTTTTAGTTCCAAGCCTAGTCCATCTAAAATCATTGTTCTCAGTGGGCAGTCAGATATTTTTTTTTGTTTTGTTTTCAAACACTTTATTGGGTATATTCAGAGAATTCTTATTAAGGAAGTATCTTTCCCCTCCAGTTGTCTGATGGAAGTGCAAGTGCATCATAGGAGGGCTTTGTAGGCAGGTTCTACAGGCAGACTGTGCTTGCAAATGGGACTTTTGTGCAAGGATCTTAACTTTCCCATCGACTCGGGATTTTTCCTCTCCCTTTTTAGCACATGTGATGAAAAGCTACCAAGGCCAGTGGAGCAAATATTTTCCCTTTCTGTAAACATGTTACACACTTAAACATGTGGGAATAATTTTAGTTCCCAAGTCCTAGGGAGTTCTATTCCACTTTTCTGATGTCCCTTGGTAATGAAGTGTGACATGCTTTAAAATTTCCTGGCCAGGTAAACTTCTTTATTCAGCACAGGAAATCTAGTTTGCATTGATTGACTGCTTTCTTCCAAGCATAGGAACATGCTATCCAAAAAGAAATGGGGAGATGACCCACAATGCCCCGTGGAAACTTTTCTTTTTCCTATGCAGACTAGAAAATTAACCTGTTCAGGATGAAACTTAGTATTTCATTGATCTTCTGAAACCAGTAGAAAAAGTGAGGGTCTGTCTTGGTACTGAATAGATAGTGGGTTATTGAATCCAGTAGTTCCTGCAGAACAGTGGTTCTCAAAGTACCTTCTCAAAGCAACATCACTTAGGAACTTCTTAGAAATGATAATTCTCTATCCCTGCCTAGAATGGCTGTATAAGAAATGTGGAGTATTTGGCACAGAAATCCATGAGTCAGTTGCCCATTCAAGTTTGAGGGCTTGATAAAGCACAGGTTGGTAGAGCCTAATCCTTAGAGATTGTTACTCAGTTGTTTTGGGTAGGATTTCTTTTCCTATCTACAGATGCCTAGGAGATAGTGATGGGACAATGCTCCAGAGGAAACTTGCCTCATAGGACTAACTGCATCTAAGGTTGCCATTTTTACAAATTTGTTGACATGGTGATAATATGAAAGATGTAACTCTAATCTTTGAAACTTGAAACCATCCAGAGTACCTTCCAGATCCTGTTGTTTCAGCATATGGCTACTAGAGGGGAATTCTGATGACATTTCCCTCTACACCCACCATACCACTAAAAAGCAAACATAAGTGGGCCACTTGAAGTAGAAATACAAGGGGCTGTTTGGGGAGAGGCAGAGATGGAAGGGATAGCTTTTTTGGGCATCCAAGGTGGAGGAAGGATTATTACTGTACATAATCCATTTTATGGGGATCATTTTGATGCTAATTTATTTTGATGCTAAATGTTGCCCCAAGGCACTCTCGACAAGTCTGTCCACTTGGCTCTTTTCACAGGGTAATAAGACCCTTTAGACTTTGAAAAACTGGCATAAATGAGCTGAAGAAGTCCATTGTATACAGTCCTAGTGTTTGCCTTCTTGGTAAAATTACATTTTAAGGATATCATTTCATGAGTCAAATTGTATCTGCTGACACTAAAGTGTATTGAGATGTTGTTCTTTAGTTTAAGTATGTATCAAAGTAATATTCAAAGGGGATGTATGGGGGTGGGACTGGGACTGGGTGGCTTTATATTGATAATGAAATATTCCAGAGCAAAACACATTGTCCTAATGAAGTTGTTGCAGCTCTCTTTGTTTTCTTGTGAAGCTGGAATTGGCCCGTGGGTCACATGTTGTGCAAAAGTGAATTAATTTCAAATAGGAATCACATTGCTTTTGTAAAACAAAATCAACCACCTTGTCTGAAGTATACATTGTAAGGCGTTCTTGGTGAAGAACAACCCAGAAACACCTGACCTTGATTGGAAAGCATTGTAGGTCATTAGGGAAATCTGATGATGCTGACTGTTGCTACAGCTGTGTTGGCAATTAAAGATGACCTTGTTACTAACTGAGTGTTGCTGTCAACCTTAGCAAACAAACCAGCTAACACCTTTACAGCACTGGTTAAGTAGATGTTTACTGGCACTGGCTGGCATTCAGCTGAGGAAGGCTAAGTTACAGACTAATGACCAAGAGCCAGACTAGGTCTAGCTAGAAATTCAGCAACAAATACCTCCTTGTGCTATTTGAATGCTAAGGTATTAGTTGCAAAAGGCTTACGCCTTCACTCCTCTAGTGAGGGGAATGAGCCTGATGACACGATTACTGTTTACCTGTCAAACCAGGGTGGCAATTTAGAAGGATGCAAGTACAGTACGTCTCATTAAGCAGTCTTTGTTGCTGATTATATGAAGATGAAATGGTTGTATATGCTGATCTGTATGTTATGTACATTTTCACAGTGATTGAATCATTGTAAAAACAAAAAAGACAAAAAAGAATCACCACTCTGTCTATTTTATGAAGATGATAAAGCAGCTTTATTAAATTATTACAGTTCTGTTTTAAATGGTGTTACCTGCCACATTGTTTCCTTTTATCTGGTGGTTCTCTGTTTCCCTCTTAAATGTGTTTTCTCTGCTTCAAAATTTAATGCATTTTAGTATTAAAGGCTATTATGGAAAAAGTATTGAGTCTTTGGTGAAGTGTGTCTTGGAGAGTGTTTTTTTCCCTTGATTGGGGGTAGAAGTGTATCAGAACTTGAAATTAACCAGCTCTTGGTGTGGGGGTCACTGATGTTCCCAGCAAGGACTTTGGTTTGCCTTTCCCATTTCAAACTCCCAATTTCCTAAGAGAGATGCCTCTTTCTGGATCCAGACACCAAACATTTCCATTGTAACCCCTGCTACTGCCAGCCCCATCCATAATATTAGAGAAGGAGGGAAACCCATTTCACATGCGGGAT